CTACCATTATTGTAAATCCACTATTAACTGAGTATGGCCTTGAAACATAATTTTATAACATAATAATAACATTGAAAAAATGGGATCGCTATAAAATGGGAGGGGGTTGAGATATTGCCCACTTTTTACACAATTCACGCTACATAGAAACATAAAATGTGATGGTAGATAACAAACATTAGGCCCATCCCACATATACAGCCTGGCATCATGTCAGGAGTCTGTTGAGTGGAGGGGCTTTTTTGATTTATGATATACATGTATTCATTGATCCTCACTGTTACACTGTTTATTGAGAGAACACCTAACCTTTTCCCCTTTGGTGGCGGAGGAACTACTCATTCTCCGGTGGTCGTTCTCCCCCTACCATGGAGCCTGCCCACCCTCCATTGCCACCATCCCTTCCCCCTTTTCTCTCTTTTTTTGCTTGTTTTCCTATAATCAGAAATTGAAAATGAGAGTGTTTGCCTGTTATTGCTGTATACTATCATCTTCGAAAGTTTTATTTGTATCTTTGATGACACATCAATATGTTTTTGTACAACTTCTGCAAACATTCTCAATAAAAAAGGTTTGAGAAAAATAAAAATAAACATTAGGTCTATCTAGTCTGCCCAATTTTCTAAATACTTTCATTAGGTCCCTGGCCTTATTTTCTACCTAGGATAACCATCCCAGGATATGCCTATCCCATTCATGCTTAAATTCCCTTACTGTGTTAACCTCTACCACTTCAGCTGGAAGCCTATTCCATGCGTCCACTACCCTCTTAGTTAAGTAATACTTTCTGATATTTAAACCTTTGTTCCTTTGTGTTAAAACCTGCAAATTAAGGAAAAGAAACCAATGGGCTCTGGGTGAGCTCCAATGATCTTGATTGTAGATGGGAAAATTTACAGAAGGACAACCAACACTGCAACACACCTGATCTGGCCTTCTGGCCTGCTTGAAAAAAAACACCTACAGAATTCTCAGACCGTGGGAAACAAGATTCTTGGGTCTGATGAAATGAGGATTGAACTGTTTGGCCTCAGTTTAAAGCATCATCTCTGGAGGATACAGGGCACTGCTCATAAGCTGCTGAATATCATCCCAGCAAGGAATCATGGGTGGTGCTTTAGAGGTGTTTTTTTCAGTTTCAGAAAGACTGCCCATGGTTAAGGGGAAGCCACAAAGAAATACAGAGATATCCTTAATAAGAACATGGTCCAGGGAGCTCAGAAACTCAGATTGGGCTGAAGGTTCACCTGGTCTTACCTCACAATCACAGTTTGGGGAACTTTCTAGTTATATCTATACACATACTCTTGTGTGTTGTCACTTTCCAAATATACTCATTGATTGTATTTCACTGGGGGACCCTGTTTTTTATTTTAGATGTGATTTGTGGTTGAAACTATTTTATTCATTTATCAATAAAAGTTTAGTTTTAAACAAAACCATTTCACAACTTTTCCCATCAACCTTGGCTAAATGCTCCAACTCTTGTTTTTGTTACGTGTATTCACCTACCAACAGAACACACTCAGGCACACAGACAAGACCATGAAAGAGTGGCTTAGGGACAACACTGCAAATGTCTTCCAGTGATCCAACCAGAGCCTAACTGAATCAAATTTGAAAATGGCTGTTCATCCACAGTCACTATCCAACCTGACCGAAGTTGCAGAGATGAATGGCACCATATCCAACTGTGCAATGCTTGCTGCATCATACGCCAAAAGACTTGAGGCTGTAATCACTGCCAAAGGTTCTTTAACTAACTAATTAGATAAGGGTCTGAATACTTATGTCAATGTGATATGTCAGTTTTTTCTATTTAATATATTTGCAATGGTGCCAGAACTCTTGCATTTACATTGTAATTATGGGTTATTGCGTATCGATTGATGGGGATTTTCTTTTTTTGAAATGGTGAATAAGACTGCAACATTAAACAATGTGAAAAAAATTAAGGGTTCTAAATATCTTCTGAATGCACTGTATCTATTGAAGCACTGACTATTATTACAATGGTTAAGGTCTTTAGTTGTATTTTAGGACTTAAAAAGTTGTGCATTTACTTAAAATTGCTATACTGTAATATAGTATCAAACGTGTTTCTGTTCATAACAGCTGTCAACAATAGCATATTCATGAGACTAGCAACCACAGGGATCCTGCCAAACATAGATGAGGTTGGCTTCACTGTAGAGTGTTATTTTAGTACTTCCCCGATATGACCAGAAATATGTTGTATAGGATGGACAAGCTAAATGAAATTAGAGTACCTTTTAACCCTTTTTCCAAGTGATATCATGGAGGGGAGGATGGGTTCCATTTAGATGTGTCTTCTTGCACTTTTTTTGTTTTTCAATAGGCAGAAATACCAAAGTTTGGGTAAGTGAGATTAATAGAATTAGATGATAATATATTTACCTGGTAGTAGAGATAGCTATGCACTTTTCGGCATTCTACAAACTCTAAATGTAGTCAGCTGAAGGACCATTTTGACCTTATTAGTCTTTGATGTCCTAATGTCACAATTACAGCTAGTAGAGAAGTGTCAGCAATAGTGAAGAGTCCACAGAAAAATGATAGTTAGTTGATCCCAAACAGCCTGTTATTTTATCCGATTCCATGTGTATACTATTAGCTTCCAGGAAGAAAACATCCTACAGTAGAGATCCAACATTAAAAAAAAAAAAAAATTAATGCAGAAAACATGGCAATGTAATTGCACTAGTCTCATATAAAAGCCATCTAATGTGAGGGCAAAGGAAGGTATGACAGAGAGAGTGGCTTTAAATAAAAATGCAATAGGTACTATAATTCATCCAGTTGTTTATTTTTTCCTTCAGTTATTAATAGGCCCCCAAAACATCTATATTATTCCAGGTTTAAAACAACATAACATTATAGTATTACCTAAATTGTTTTGTTTTTTTTAATCTCTCTTTTGCTGGGCATGGAAAATGAACCTCTTCAGTACCAATGAAAAGTAATGATTGTCAAAATAGCAAGGTATTTGGCTAACTTGAAGGGGTTAAAAGATGCATTCTTACAAATAAAAACCAAACTGCTGTCATATCCATGATCTGGTTTGAAATATTTTCTTGTGGATCCTGGCTTATAGGAATACCATTGATATGACCTAGAGAGCTCTGCTAATTAGAAGCTCTGGCTTAGTACGTCATCCTTGGTTATTTCCACAAGAGGTCTTCTGCTACCACCCCATGCACCTGTCCTATCATTAGCCTGAGGGAGATCCAAATACTTGCACCATCCTTTTGAGATGAGGCAAGATCTATGCAAAGATCAAGACCCAGAAGAGCATTTTATTGCTAGTGTCAAGCATAGTATTTTACAGATAACCAATTCTAATAGTGTGGTCATTACACTACAAGATATAACCTTGGAGAACACAAATAAAAAATAATAATCTGCATTTTATGGCTGAGAACTGATAAGAAGTAGACCTAAACCATCAGTACCTACAAAGCATTATTTTATACTACTTTCTTATGTCTACATAGGTCAGAGGATGCGATCAATACAAGCTGTGATATAGTTAAAGAACATTCTGCAGAAGTCTCTAAGCAAGTAACCAACCATAAAAAAAATCAATTGAGAAAAAAAAATGCGATTTGTAGTAAGACACAACAGGAGCCCACTTCATGTTAATCTCCCCTGTGATCACATCGTGGGCACCAATATGCTGAGCCAGTGCTTGAGTGAGTCATGGATTGCAAAAGGGGGGGTGGGGGGGGTGGTTGCTCGTGTTCCCATGTTATATTAGATCGAATTCTAATTAATCTCAAGCTTCATTTCAGACCAAAAATGGTAACTTTCTCCATACTTGAGCCTGAGCATATTTGGTATCTGGATACGACGCTAAAAACAACACTTGAATCAAATGAATCAATAGTATTTTCCTATTAATATTTAAATTCTGTTCATGAATAAGGAATATTCTGCTATTAGAAATAAAATAGAGGAAATAATTATTGGATCTATTGAAAACATACGGGTAATCCACAGCCCATTTAACTCTTAAATGATAAATTCCTTATAAGTAAAAGGTTATACATTCCTAAATGTACCAGGGGCAGGATACCATGACCACAGGTAGAGAACTTCGGTTACTGAATAGAAAATACTCCCAAGATTTCTGTTCAATAATCAGTGGTAGAATCTATCCCGGGAGAAGAGGAATAAATGAGTCATTCTTACAAAGTGTCATTCTTTTTTCTAAAACAATAGAAACCCAATATTATACTATTTTAATCTATTATGAAGACCCCTTGGCACAACTGATATCAATCAACTGATTGCTAGTGCTACAATGTAGACCAGTTCTTCCCAGTTAAAGTGACACGGGGTATATATGGGTTAAAATGAATGCAGTCAGATTTTGATCCAAATAATACAATTTTGCCTTCTGAATTGTTTAAGGGCTGTAATAATCTCAGTATATGATGTGACTATTTTAACCCTTCTCAAACGCATAGATTTTACACATCCATAATGTTTTCCAGGGGCTAATAGTCTCTTATTCTGGTTTAGGGTTAGGTGACAATGATATGTGTGCTTTAATTGACAGTGAATAAGGCTGAGCTGATAACTCACGTAGCCTGACAATGTAAAATAAAGTGGGACCCTTACTCTGGATATATTGTTCATATCTCCTCTTCACACACACAAAAAAACCCACACAAAGAATCATCAAGGAACAACACAATAAAGACAATGTACATATTTAGTGGGCAGGAATGGAAGCACCTGGAGGTTACACTGGCATTGATTGAGTTAAACGACCTGGAAAGATTTGTAATCCCTTTTATTGATTCATACACCTAACAAAGTTCTGCATATAAATAATACTTACGTAAAACTCAGGGAAATTTGTAAAGGGAAAAAAAAAAACCTTTTCAGATTTTCATCATCTCGGTGAATTTAGTGATTTATCTACCCAGGGCTAATGGTGCGTAAAAGTGGTGGTTATCTCAGGGAAGAGAGGGGGAGGAGGGGGCACTTCCTTCGATGACGTCAGATGGAGAATTTAAAAGGGGACTTAGGAGATCCCCAGAGCAGAAGCAGCAGAAGGCACAGCAGGTTCCTCAGCACTGATATCTCTGTCTGCCCAGCTTGGAGAAGTTCTAGCAAACATGCAGTCCTGCCGTATGCGCTGTGCCCTCACCATCCTCTCACTGGCCCTGGCAGTGAGCTCCATCTCATCTGCTCCCACAGACCCGAGACTTCGCCAGTTCCTGCAGAAATCACTGGCAGCGGCAGGGAAACAGGTAAGGACCCCTGATCCAAAATCCAAGATGTTTATGTGAAGGATCTAGTGCTGGGGTGCCCAAAAGATAGATCTCCGGATGTCGTAGAACTACAACTCCCATGGTGCTTTGTATGCCTTTAGAATGCTTTAGAATGACAAAGCACCACGAAAGCTGTAGTTTTAAAATATCTGGGAATATACCTTTTGGGCACCCCTGGTCTACTAGGACTTGGGATAGTTTCGATTTAATGCTAGATCTTTAGCGCAATGTATTCACAAACCTTCCAAGGGCAAGTGGTCTCAATCGATTTAAATTTATTCAGAAATCATGGTTGATTATTCCCATATGAACTATGGTATAAAGGCACGCTAAGGGATAGTTGTTAATTGTATCTTATCCTGGGGTAATTCCATGCTGGAATGTCTAGTCTAGATGTTCTGCACAGATGCCACGAAGTATCTGCTTAAACAAGTTTCCAACGTTCTAAACGAAAATCTTGTGGATTAAATTATTGAAGGGAAACATCTATTTGAGCAGCAGATAGAACCATTTCTTAATCTGGTCTTCCCATTATAATTTAAACCATTTAATACGATTTCGATCATTTGCTTTTCCACCTGCAGTGGACTACCACTCTCATTCAAGGTCAGTTAGCCATAGAATTCATGGTGTCTACCAGTTGTTGGTATGTTAACAATCATCAAGTAATCTCGCCATTCCAAATACTTTGAGCAGGGTTTGAGAAATCAGTTATCCTTTCTGCAATGTAATTGTATCTTGGTGCTGTCTAAGGTGCTGAAACCGCATGCACCCTTTCTATTCATTATTTAACAGTAGTATCCAAGTGGCACATTTGTAGCCAAGTTATCATGTGAGTGTGCATTGGGGAAAAAAGTATAATTATCTAAATATTTAACAGATCCAAATGTTACTTTATTTTAGCAACATGAAAATCATCGTATTTTAAGAACAACTAATATAAGAATAAAAACAACGTTTTCATGAAGTAGTAAATACATAGTTGAAAAAAAAAGTTTAGCTGTAAATAAATATTGCATGCATGTTTTAATTCTCATTTTACATACGATCCAGTACACATTGGTGTGCTAATAACCAACTAAATCCTACAGTGTAACCATTGCTTGCAATGCATGTGAGACCTGTAACAGTAACCCTAGTACCTGCTATGTTGGCCAATAGTTTTCTCATAGCACCCATAGTAATCAGAGAAGGCATCCACTGCAGGAAGTTCAGTGAGTTCTATGATGTTGCCAGATGTGTTGCCTGGATGTTTTAGTAAGCTGGAGTGGTCCTGATGCTGTTTGTTTGTTTGTTGTGTGGAATTGAAAACTTGTTTGATAGTTCCATTCTAGCTCACGTTCTCCCATTCCCCTGCTTTTAGGAGCTAGCCAAGTATTTCCTGGCAGAATTGCTATCAGAGCCTTCCCTGACAGACAATGAAGCGTTGGAATCAGAGGATCTGCCCAGAGGTGCTGAACAGGATGAAGTGAGATTGGAACTAGAACGATCTGCAAACTCCAGTCCAGCCTTGGCCCCCAGAGAACGCAAAGCTGGATGCAAAAACTTCTTCTGGAAAACCTTCACGTCCTGTTAGCTTCCACCTCTCCCTTCCCTCTGATCCGATATTTTCCTACTCCCTCTATCCCAAGCAAAGCCTTCACTGCAGGAGCCGGAGACTGTAAATACCACACACAGTTATGGTGAATAAAAGATATTGATTTGGAGTTGTTTAATAAAACTTTTAGTTGAAATTGTACATGATTTGCTTGGGTTGTGATTTTTCGATAGTTCTTATGATATGCACTCTGCCATTCACACAGATGTACTATTTTTAATTATTTGTTGCAATAAAGTTTGTTTCAAACTCTACATGTTAGCCGTGATCTTTGAGAAGAAACATCTCTATTTAATGTGCAGAGAAGAAGGGGTTAAACATTGCACGGTTCATGGTGTTACAATATTAACTTTTGCATTAGGAAAAGCTACATGATTACATGATATGCAAAAGCTCACAAGCACACTGACAGACACGAGGAAACGAATACACACACACACACACACACACTGTAGAGAAAATTGTGATGTTAACTCTTTGATTGCTGTATTTCTGTACAATTATAAAAGTGTATACCAGACTCGAATGACGCAGTAATCAACTTATATTGTTTAAACAATCAACTCCTGCACAAATAAAACTGACTAATAGATCCTCTCCTTTGTTAGTAACATTTTAATACTGCAATACTTTGGATAGATCTGGCCCCGTCCATTCTTCCAAGGGACAATAAATGCTGGAATGACGTAATTCCTGCATATGACGTGTCCCGGACCATTTTTCAGTCTGCTCTTTCTGACATTCAGTATAATGGTATCTGTTTAACGACGAATGACTTGGAGTAACCCCCTCAGGATTGTGGATGCGTCTTTGCAGTATAGTTATGGTCTATTTTCTTCAATTTGCCTATATGCATTCAATTCAGCAATTCAACTGGGGGATAAATTGCACAACCATATCCCATCAGCCTGCCTAATGTATGCAAAATCTGTATTATCGTGGAAAGGGATGGATTTTATATAGAGAGAGAAAAGTCCATTGTCTCTGCAGTTAGTGTATGATCATTAATATCGTTTATGTTATCCTCCACACCACCTACTAAGGGATGGAAGTATTTTAATTCTTCTTCATCAGTTTTATAAAATAATCTAACTCCCATAAACACTAGTTTACTCGCAACTGAGCAGCAATAATTCCCAAGCACATCCAAGCCCAATCCACCCTGAAACTGGCCATACTCTACAGCCTTCTATTTACACCTCCTGGTTTTAGGTATTGTCATTTAATTTGACATATAAATACTGGAGTGTTCACCCCTCTTTCATATGCCTATAGCTTCTATAGGATAAATGATCAATTTCTATCAGTACCAGTGAAAGTGCAAGCAGGCTGTGATTTGTGACATTTTAGCCCATTTTCTACAATTATTTGTCATCAAAAAGTCAGATCCTAGGTGGCATTATGTTAATATGCCCACTGTGTATGAAAGCTCCAGCAGTTCCACCTGTTCGTATGCAAGAACGAATTTAATGCCAAAGTGGCTTCACATCTTCTTAAATTATATTTAACCTTTCATTTACGCTTATAAAATGGTTAATACTACAGTGCTCATAATAAAACAGATTAACTCTCAGGGTGCTATGAGAGCCTTTAGGAGAATAGTGTGTGTAACCATTCTATTATTTTGGGGTTGTATTTATCAAGGTGGGGGTAATCCCCTTGGAAACCCTTACATTGTCTCTGAACATGTAGTGCAGTGTTGCCAAGTCCTGTTAGCATCTCTTCTCTATAGCAGTCATCAGGAAACTGTAGCTCTGAAATACATCTCAGTTTCATGCAGAAGACCTGAAGGTGATCACCTGGCAGGAACCATTATCAGTAATGTTTTGGACAAAACTGACTCAAGAAATGTTCTATGTTTGGAGCAATAGGTTACCCATATTATATATCATTTTTGCACGCAGGAAGAGGTAAGAGATTAGGGTGAATACTATCAGTTCATAATAGGCAGAAAACCCCCCACTTTGTGCATAAGTTAAAAATACAATATTTTGCTTGAAGTTATATTACTATATATTACTATGGATGAAACTATAACTTTATAGTCACAATATTAATTCCTTTTTCTCTATTTTTCTTTGTGGTTTATTATTGATTTATAAAATATTTTAGCAGGAATGATACATTAAGATTTCTCTCCTTTTCAAGTATGTCCTGGGTCCACAAACACTGCATTGTCACAAAAGGGTATATATATTATATATATTATTATTTTATTATTTATATAGCCCCAGCAAATTCCGTGGCGCTATGCATACACAAACACACATATGAAAAGCTTCTCACTGGAGTATGCCCTAGCACAGGCAAACCGTCTTAAAAATTGTAGCGCAAATGTATGGACTGGGAGAAAAAACAATTTAAAAATTGCTAAGGAATATAAACTTGGGTCTAGTGTTCCTTTGTGCAAGGAATTTATAAGATGTTCATGGGTCGAAATGCACTTATATTAAATAAAATGTGGAGTCAGTTTAAGTTTTACAACAGAATAAGAGAAAAAATAAATAAAAAGGAACACAGAGTCTCACAGAGATACGTAACAGGGAATCATTAATTATGGGAAAATAATGCCATCAAGTGGTTCTGGAGATACGTTTTAGTGGTTTATGTGATGGTAGTCGCCATCACCAGGAGCTTCAGACAGACTATTTAAGTAGACCCCTAACCTATTTATTATAGGTGCAGGGTGTGGGTAAATTATTTAGTGTTTTGTGTTAAATGTTTTGTCTGCTCTCCTGTGTTGCTGAGGACAACTAGGTGGATTGGGCTATGAAACCTGTGTAGTGCCCTATGTTGGTAGCAAAAGCAATATGCAGTACCTGAATAGCGAGGCTGGTTAATTTGCATATTCAAGTGGATTTGCATATTGTAAATTTTGCAGACAGGAGAGATATTTTATGCTGGTTATTGTCTCCCCCGTCTCTTTATAAATAGGTTATTATGCTATTATAATTGCCTCTATATTTTCTGACATGTTTTGGTTATTTTAATTTTGTTATGTTTGTCACAGCAATCTAAATGTAATGATCATATGGCCAAGTCCCAAGTAAAAAAGTAATGCATGTTAATTGCTTTTGAAATTTGTGTCCTGTGTGGATTTTTAGGGATCCCAGTGGCAGAGTCTTTGGACTTGTTGGTTGGCTGCATAATCCCTCTAGCCTTGGGATAAATAAAGAGAGCTAGGCCTAAAAACTGCAAGTGCTTTTGTAAAGGCAATAGTAATCACTTTAAGCAGAGCTGCAGAGGGGACGATACCTGCCTGGAATAGGCAGAGTGGATTATACCTGCCTGGAAGGAGAGCTGCAGCCTGGTCGGGTGGAAGAGCTCCAGAAGGACCCCAGTCAAACTGCGGTGACTAGAGGAAGAAGCGCTTCAGGTTTCCCGGTTCCAGCTAGGAAGTGAGCTTGGTGGAGATACTCCAGCCGTGATACAGGGAGTTCCGTCACAGTTTATACACTGTTTATCCACAACATTAAAACCACTGACAGGTGAAGTTAATAACATTGATTATATTGTCACAATTGCACCTGTCAAATACAGTGCCTTGCAAAAGTAATCACCTTCATTTAGCATTTTTCCTGTTTTGTTGCCTCACAACCTGGAATTAAAGGGACACTCCAGGCACCCAGACCACTTCTGCCCACTGGAGTGGTCTGGGTGCCAACTCCCACTACCCTTAACCCTGCAAGTGTAATTATTGCAGTTTTTTTATAAACTGCAATAATTACCTTGCAGGGTTAACTCTACCTCTAGTGGCTGTCTACTAGACATTTGGATAGATTTTATGGGGATCAGCAAAGATTTGGATATTTTCTTATAACCTAACCCTGACTTGTACTTCTCAACAACATTGTCCCTTACTTGTTTGGAGTGTTCCTTGGTCTTCATGGCAGTGTTTGGTTAGTGGTGCCTCTTGCTTAATTGTTGCAGCATCTGGGGCCTTTCAAAAAAGGTGTGTATATGTAATGACAGATCATGTGACACTTAGATTGCACACAGGTGGACATCATTTCAAGTCAAGGGGGGTGAATATTTTTGCAAGGCACTGTATATTAGGTAGCAAGTAAACAGTCAGTACTTGAGTTTGTTGTGATGAAAATATATGAGCTGGGACTTTTACTGTTTTATGTTTTTGAAAAAGTGCTCAGTAGAGAAAGGAATAAAATCAGGAATAGAACATGATCAAGGAAAACAAATTTCAAACCAAACTAATAACAACATAATTATTATTATTATTTTATTATTTATATAGCGCCAGCAAATTCTATAGAGCTGTACAATGGGTGGTCAAACAGACTCGTAATTGTAACCAGACAAATGGACGCACAGGAATGTCATTTTACAAGACAATTTTTATAGGCTTAAAATAAATCCTTAAGTATTGACAAAACAGTTATTCATTGTTATTCAAAAAATGTAAAGCCCCCCCCCCCCATTTTGTCAATTAAGTAATCCGGAATCAAGAAAAAGTAACATTTAATTTGAGCTCAGTCCATTTCAAGAACATGCATACCTGTAAGAGTGCCGCTGGGGCGAATTTACACAACATACAAGATCCAACGACTCACTTATTCATTAAACATCGATTTCAAGTCTCACAGAATGTTAATAGTTTTATTTAAAAACACCTTACCTAGGCAAAAAATAATGGAGTTTTAGTTACAGTATATGATCATACATTGCATAAGCCTGCCACAACCTCAATGTATATATATATATATATATATATATATATATATACACATGTCTGTAGTAAGCATTCACTCTAGCTGGTTAAAATGCACACTCCAGATGCCTCTACCAACTCTCATAAACCCCCTACCAGTGCCAGCTCTTATCAAGCTGCCCTTACCTACATAGCTCCTTTGATGTGGAATAACTTTCCAGAACATATCAAATCTGTCAGCAGTCTCAAGTCCCCGAAATATACATTACTATAAGTTATATTATAATTTATACTTACCTTCTTTTTATTTTTGTTTGTATATCACAGCTGAACAGTAGATTTTACAGCAACTCACATGTGATGAAAGTTTTAGTGCAGGTATAGTAAGTGTATTTTTTATTTGCTCTTTTATTTCAAAGCTGTATTACATTTCTGCCACTTATATGTTGCCTGTTCAGTGTGTAGGGTTTTATAAAAACATTTCCTATTCAAAACTGGGCTCTGGTGTGAATAAAAGTCAGGGTAAATAAGTATGTTGGATTGGAAATAGAAATTAGCTCATGACTCATCTATAAGGTTGGACTTCATGTAGGCGGTGACCTTCCATTGTTTTATCATCAAGTGGCATTAAAAATTGTTTTATTT